GAATACTTTCCGTACCCACTGTATATATATATATATATATATATATATATATATAAAACTGACCTGCATGCTTATAATAAATAATATCATTATTTTGAAGTTTGCTTTGGCTATTAGCTTCGAGTTTTGATGACTATTACTGTAAAATGTGGAAAACAGTCATGATGAAGAATGAGTTGTCTAGCTGTCCAAGCTGTGTTCTGTGTTGAGTCAGAGGTTGGCCTTCTTTCTGATGGTTTTGTCTGGCAATTGCTGTTCAGGGCTTGAATTTCTATTTTGTTTAGAGGCGTGGTTTCGTTTTGCCTGTTTTCATTGCTCACTGCCTGAGAAATTTTTTTTTTTCTTGTTTTTTTTTTCCTTTCATTTGGTAAAATTATTTCTAGGCCCAGCCCTGTATGTTTTTAAAGACAGAAATTCAACCTGTCCTGTCAGTCCTGGTGTTCTGTGTCCATCACGTGACCGGCACATTTACACAGAGCAGATCAAATGTCTGAACACACACATTCTCTCTTCCATACACATACTAATACTACCTTTAACTCTTTCCCCGCCAGCATTTTTTAGTATAACAGTGAAAACACGAAAAGCCGTAAAAACTCGTCTTTGGCGAGAACACGCTGTCTTCTAAAAGACGAGATAACTCGTCAATGGCGGGGAAAGAGTTAAGCTGCGTCACACTAGACTTAAAACTAAACAATATGTATACTACAAAAAATATTTATACAAATGTATAATATATCAATAATACTGTCTATTCAAAGTATGCAATTTTAGTAGTCAAAAACCTGAAAACAGTGAATTTCAGGCCTGGGAAAGTCTGAGTAAAATCTTCTAAAGTCATGGGAATTTTTATAATGACTATTAATCTTTCTAGGTTTGTTCTGCTGTACAATATTTCATTGAGTTGAAACTGCTCTTTGTTATTGCTTGTGTTGAGTAAAACATTCATTAGTCTGTCCAGTGGTCTAATTGGAGACATATATTGCATATTGCACACTAATACGTATAATTATTCAAGTCTATTTTTTCCATCATCTGACATACAAATGGAAATCTAACTCAGCAGTCTTCGTAAAATAGGAAGAATGACTTGTGAATGGGAGTGAATGAAGCATGAGGTCTAGTGTGACCACAACTCTGGTCCCGTCATGGATGGGCGGGAGGTGTCACTGAAATATACTGCTAGTGCTCTTCATCTCTTCTGTCTTCATATGTACAATAATTAATTCGCTTCATTCATCCACTCTCGCCTCCCTCATACATTTACAAGCCCTTTTTAGTTTTAGTTTTTTGTTGTTGTTGTTTTGTTTTGTTTTTTAAGAAGAAGGAAGAAAGAAATCGTATACATGTAAACTTCTGAATACAACTGTCTTGTTTGCAGCTTTAATTTGAAAGAGAACATGTGAAGACGTGTGCTAAATAATATGCTGATTTGCTGATGCTGATGAGAATAAAGTTTTAACACAAAGCATACAACCGAATACACAGAATTGTACTCATTTGTTAGCACGTGCAAACACAGGCGCTCGACACTTGCACACGAGAACGTTTCATCCATGACCAGTATTTGTGCAATTTCTCTCCAGAAGTTATGACCAATATAAACACTTTTATATTTGTTTAAACTAGAGTTGCATGTACCTCTTAACCCCTGCACAGAAGCACTCACTATCGTGGCATCTGTTGTTGTTTCATCTACAATAAAGCTGCACACATCCAGTAGCGAAGAGTGAAGAAGCTTGAGGAGTATAGATGACACGCATGTAGAGGTGAAGTGTGTTATTTATGCACTACTAGCAGCAGGGCCATCACTAGTGGGGAGAAAGTTGGTGACAATTATAGGGGCCCACAGCTGTCGGGGGCCCCCGGCGATTTCAACCGACTGGCCAAAAGACGCTCAGGACAGTTGACAGGGCACTGCTGCACGTTGTCATGAAAGACTATCATTTGCATGTGTTTTTAAGCCTTGTCAATTTAAATATTCAAGAGTTTTTTAAGGATTCAAGCACAAGAAGATGCGAAAGAACACTACCAAGTAGTCACTCAAGCGCAAGAAGGCATGAGAGAGAACTCAATTTGGTGTGCTCTCTTTGTGCACGCGCATTATATTGGATCCATGCATTGTGTCTTAAAGTGACCACGCCTAATTTACTAGCTGGTGTCGTTAATGTTAATTCAAGAAAAAAAAAGAAAAAATTGAGAAAATCACTCACTGCTCTTGGCTGACTTACTTTTGTAGTTTTAACAAGAATTGATTTGTATTTAATTTATACAGTGAAGACTACGCAATGCCATTTTACATTTGATTATTCAGTTTCTGTACCTAAACACCTACAAACTTGAAAAAAAAAACTTTTTACATGATTTCAAACAGGGCCCATGGGTACAACCTGCGCCGGAGCCCCGCAAATCCCAGCTACGACCCTGACCAGCAGCACCAAATGGAATAACAAAAAAATAAGTTCAAAATGGCATACTAGCATACTACTCTTAACAATTTATGCAGTATATAATATGTATACTGTACAATGTAAAATAAAATCTTAATTTTAACTGTAAAAGACAATTCCACAGTTAAAACCCTGTTATTTGGTTAACAGTAAGTTCCCTAATTATATAACCTTAACCTTATCCTCTAACCTTACCTTTCAGGTACTTTTACAGTAAAATAGTGTTAAATCTAAAGTCATTGTATAATTTATAGTGAAAGACTGTAAACTGACATTCCCAGAATTCCCAGTATCACATTTTGTTTAAATAATTGTTTCTTAATAGTTTTTGTTATCAGTAATGTGCAATAGGATTTTTATGTTACATCTTATGTTGATACATTCGTGTTTATTGCATTATTTTAGAATCTTATGATACCATGGTGATGCTGTTTTGTATTTGTGTTTATAACACTGTACACCTTCTATATACAGTGGGTATAGAAAATAATCTGAGTAAATGCACTGAGCAAATACAGCTGGATAAAATAAAAACTGTGTTTGTCTTCATTTTAGGCTGCAAAGCAACTAAATGTGATTATTTTAAAAGAGGGTGATTCTTTTCTACACCCACTGTCTTAGTATACATAGTAAATCTATACACTTTTCTATAAATTATTATTTGTAAATTGCTAAATTTACAGGTTGCTTTGTAAAGATTTATTTTTGCTTTATTTTTTCAGAATTATTCTGGCAACCACAGCTGCCTTTTTTTTTTTTCTTTTAAAACAACATGTACACAGTATGAATTTTTTTCTTATTCAAAGAATACCTGAATGGCCTGCTATATTTGCCATTACATACAATATACAGCAGGGAACACTGCATAAGATATTGCATCCCACAGTTCAATGCAAAGCACTTGACTTAACATATATGTATAGGATGTAATCCGTATTTTAAACACTCCTTTTATATAAAAATGTATATTTTACACAAAATTTGGTAGCACTTTATTTTACAGTCCTGTTTCTCATGCACATGTACTTATTATAGTAATTACAATAATTAGGTAATAAGTAGGTACTAACCCTGAACAACTCCCTAACCTAACCCTACCCTATGTAGTTACCTTATATTACCAGTACTTTCTTAGATAAGTACACTGTAGGTACACCGTAAGTACATGTAAGTACACATACTGTAAAATAAAGTGCAACCCAAAATTTGATGAAATAATGCAAAAATAATGCACTTATTTACAATATGATAACTGGGCATCAACGTGATGAGGTCATGGGACAACTATGTACCATAATACTTTCTAAAACATTTATGGAACAAGAAACATTTACGGTTTCTCTTGATATTTCTAAAAACCAGTGGCTGGTAGCAGATGAATAGGTAATCCGCCCAAAACGTCATCGGCTGAGTAAGCTGTCAACATGTTGGGCCTCTCAAACAAACAGAGCAATGTTTTGTCAGCACCACACTGTTTACACCCTTCATAAGTCATCCTTAGTCTTTACATATTAAACCAGGAAATGAGATAGTATTTTAACATCAAAAAACTTAAAGCTGCATAAAGTATACATAAGTTGTATACGTGTGTGCGTGAGAAACGGGGCGGGAGGCAGTCAGTGTGTTTTATATGGTGTGTTAAACGGAGAACAAAGTGAAGTCAGTTTTAATGGTTAAACATTAAAATGCCTTCCCCCCCAAAATCTCTCTCTCTCTCTCTCTCTCTCACACACACACACACACACACACACACACACACACAGCTGCTATTCAAATGGAAACGTTCAGTGCCGTGGGTCAAGGCTGGATTGAAACTGTTAACAGATCCTGGTCTGGCTGCACTCCTACACTTCCTCCATGTAAACAGTGCGAGGATCACTGGAGGCAAAGACACACACACACAGAGCAGTGCTAGGTTACCTTTGCTGCTTTGCTGTTTTTTGGCAGCAGCGGCGGCGTCCTCCGACTGAGCCAGACGTCTGAGCACGTCTGCCAGCGCGGCCTTCATCACCATCAGCTCATCTTCCTGCTGCTGCACCCGCAGCTCCAGAGATGACAGGCGGC